AAAAAAAAAAAAAAAAAAAAAAAAAAAAAAAAAAAATAAAAAGCAACCAGGATCTATCCTCTTCCCTCGAACCACTTCACACGAATCAACTTATCGACAAGATAATGCGCGGGGGAAATGAGCTCGAGATTGGCCCCCTGCAACGAATTATATAACAACCGTGTTCACGAAACTTGTCAATACCCTGTTATGGACGAAACGGAAACGGATCTTATCCCGGATGCAAGGTGGAACGATCGTGGAGAGACCTGTTTGCTTCGGGGTCTCGGCTCGAACTGTTCGGGTGCCGATTCGAACGGAGGCAAAGGAGGCTGAGAGAGTGAAAAAGAAGGAAAAGAAAGGTGTATAACAGACCGAGGGCGAAGAAGGCTCCGCCTTCGTGCATGGGCCCTCTCGAGGAGGGAACATCTGGGTCCAAAAGCACCTTGATGGCTCTAGTCGAGCGGTGCATTGGTCACCTCGAAGGTGACCCTCTGAAGGTGGAGGTGGTCTCTTGCATGACTCCGCCCGACCTTCTCCTTTCGTACGCGAGCGCAGGCCTGGTCTCCACGAGTCTTCAACCTCCTTTTCGATGCCTGACCGGCCGGTGGAGGAAAGATCGGTAGCTAAACGAAATGTTTGACGACGTTTAGGGAGGTCGTTGTGCGTTTTAACGGCGTGGCGCATGGGCGCATGTTAGGCGGGCATCGATATGCATTGGATCGCGTATGAACGTGTAGATTGCGGATGTTTGCGGAAAATTTAAATGTACGGAAAAATCCGTAAAATAAAGGAATAAATGTAATGTGATGCGAACGACGTGGGAAAAGAAAGAGAAGGGTAGGACTCGAATTTGAAGCAGTTTGGGAGAAAATATTGAATTAAAATATAGAATATTTTTAAACAAATGGTAATAACAGATTTGAAAGTGTCTATCATTTTATACGATGTTTAAATCAAATATCGATGCTTGAAAATGTTATTTTATTTTAATGCCCAAGTTAAACACTTCCCGAAGATTATTGTTTAATGATTAAATGACGAATAATTATTATTTGTCGAATATCGTAGAGAATGAAAGATACAAATTTTTTAACGATTAAAATTCCAAAATTGAATATCTTGCATCTAGTTCGTATAAGTACGTAAATACAAAATCTATCTATAGAATATGGTCATGGTATGCAAAAAGATATGAAATATCCAAAGTGAAGTACAATAGAACTCCATTTATATAAACCCGTCGGAAGACAAACAATTCATACAACAAGTTAATTTCACATATAATAGGAGCCTATTGATTATTCTCGTTATTTTTAATTTTTCGTTCAAACAACCGAAGTTCAAACAGTACCTTATTAAATCTACTAAATCTTGCACCCCATTTATTTTATTTATTTTTAAAAAAAATTTGCTTCGCAAAGTTTTTATAACTTTTATCTTCGTATATTAATATTATGCAATAAAAAGATAATTTAAATTTCCTCTAAATAATAAAAATTAATTTTGATTAGATTTTTGTACACGTATTAATTATATTTAAATTTTTAATTAAAACAAACGTAGCATTGAACTAAATTGCAAAATGTAACGAGGAATCATACCTCATACCTATAATATTTATACAATATTATTGATTTGAGAATAATCTATTCAACATTATACGAAAGATTATATGAAAGTTTGTCATAATTTACAATACAATTTCAAAATAATATATTGAGCCTATATACCCACATGTTTTTAAACACGTGGGTTTATTCATTATTTATGAAATCTTCTTCTACGTTATAATTTGTACGTTATTAATCTGTACGTTAATTATTATGGGTACGATCATACGTAGGTAGATTCTTATGTACATAAATATCAAAGATATCTATCTTTTAATACAGACATCTCATTAATCTCTCTTTTCCTTTGTAAGATTTATTTTTCACTATTATTTTATTTCGATTCGATTCTACTTTTTCAAATTTATCGATCTTTATCGGCCAACGTAAATGTTTCCATAAGCAAATATATCAACGAAATGTAGAAAGAAAGAGGATAAGTTGTTTGTTAAAGAAGAAAACAAAGTATCCAATGATACATTTAAAAAAAAAAACGAATTTTGTAAAAACACTTTCAATATTATACAACAATCGATAAATTGTTCGAAAAGATGGCAAAAGACAATCTTAATAATCGAAATCAAATAGGAACGCGATGATGATAATATATAAGAAGTTTGGAGTCGATTAAAATTTCTATTTTGCAAAAAGACAGACTCTTTTTATAATCTTATCATCGTTTTTTTTCCACGATCAATAAACCTACAATTTATCATATTCTTTTTTTTATTGCAGCGAAAAATCAACTTACGACCAACTTCTTTCAGTTATCTCTTCGAATGCTTTTGCGCAGCAACAAAAGGGTTACGATACAAATTTGAAAAGATCACGTGACACGTTTTAATTCGTCAATGATCAATCATCTTCATCCTTTCTTAGAGGCATTAGACATTTCGAGATGATTCCCCGCTGTGGCAAAGGAATCTTCTCTGATTCGCGTGTAATCACCTTGGAGATTAGCCGAAAAGCAAAGGTGGAATCATCTGGAGGAGCGTCATAATCCAACGCACAATGGGCCTTACAACCATGTTAATACGCGGACCCCCTTGCATCGCCATTTACAACTTGATTTTCTCTGAATTCTTCATTAATATTTACGCAGTTAATAACGCATTAATAATCGCGACGCGACGAATTATGAACTATAGATATTGTTATTGCATCGATCCAAGTAGAATTAACGTTCGGATTTGTTGTATTTATAAGATTTCAATATTTGACACAATACAAATACGAACAAGGAAAGTGTTGGATTACAATTGGAATTTTGCTCGATTAACAATTAATCTGAATTTTATTTCGACATATTTAAAAGCGTTGATCGATATTGGAATAAAATTGGGAATTGATCAAAAATTTTATCGATATATTTCTTTACATTTTCCTGGAAATAGAAACTCAAACACGATATATATTTCGATTGCATTTAAAAATTTCGAATCTTGTTTAGATGAAAAGAACAATAATTCGAAGGTATTTTTAACGGAAAAGAATATTTTATTATTAGAAAATGGAAAACTATTAATTTGGAAAATTTTAATCTAATTTTAATTTCAGTTTAATTAATAATTTGCTCGAATAAAACTTATTCATTCTATTACTAATTCTATTACTAATTGATCATATATCGGATAAAGGTACAAAATAACATATGTTAATTACAAATTATCTCACAGAGGATCGTCATCAATCATCCAATATATTATAATAATTTATAATATATCACGAAAATTATAAGAGTTACATATTATCCCGAAAAGAATCAGAAAAAATAATTTACCTATGTACGAATCCTAAAATGCTTAACTTTGACCAAGATAACTTTACCAACATAGATTAGCATAAATTTCAAATTTGATATCTACAATCGATTTCCAGAAGAAAAGAAGAAAAATAAAATCGAAAATCGCATGGAAAAGATTATCACCAGCCCCACGAATAAAATTACATGCATAACCATAACATCTCGAAATCCATCGAAATCCCTGTTAATTACCTAAACGACAGTGCAACATGCAACCACCGCCAGGTTAATCGCTCTATGCTACGCTTTCCGAGATCCATCTCCCTTTAAGATTTAATCCTTCACAGTCTATCGCCTGTTTACCAGGGAGCACAGTAAGGATCCACCAGTAAGGATAGCACGTGTCGTGATTGTAGTTTATGGGTAGCTGATTGCAGGAGCGTGGGACGGTTACAAGATTGTGGATGGGCCCCAGACCTGGGGCCAGTCGCCATTCACCGGCGCGCTTACGTATACCAGGCATCGTGTCAGTGTTTCGTTTCGTAATCATTAAGATATGCATTATCCCTCTAATGACGAGCAGCAGTGTGCAACAGCGTGTCCGATTCGTGTGGTGCTTCGTTCCCCCTTCTCCTTCAGGGGGGTCTACATAAATTTCACGTAAAATGCCTGTACGCTGGCCCTTCGTTCAACCTGATTAAAGTGAAATCCAGTGGTGTAATCCAGTCTCCAGTGGATTAATTGGTTCGATATCGTATCACCTTTTCGTTCTTTTACCCCTTCGAAATTGGCAAGAGGAGGGTTGGAATGAGAATCAATTTTTTTCTTCGGGAGTAAGTAGAATGCAATGAGAGTTTGAACTCGATCGAAATGGGCTGTGTTTAAAAATTGTTATTTTTGACTTTGAGTTATTTAATTGCTGTTTATTTATTTTTTAAAGGGAGAAGGAAATACGAAATCAATCATGTTTCTTTCGTTTATTACTAACAGGCAATGAATAATTCTTATATTTTTCCTGTGAATTTTAGGAAATGTATCTATCTGTTTTTAATCTATTTGTTAATGGACTTTTATTAGGGGAATATGAAATTTTATAATGAAATAATTTCTATTATTATAAGTGCAATTTTTCATTATCGATATTATGAATATTAATTTGTATTCTTTATTAATTTTAGAATAGCTTCTAGATAAAATACTTTACAAATAAATTCAAAATTTCTTTTTTAATTTTCTTCTAATAATGAATGATAATATTAATTGTAACATTATATAATTTTATAATAAATAAGATTCGAATTTTCGACGAAGCTAAACAACATTATTATAAAAGATCCTGGAATTCTTCTTCCAACGGAATATCGAGACAAAAGCACAATTTAGTCGAAAATCAGAATGGAAGTCTCAGGAGCAACTTCCATCACCAATGGACGTAGATCTTTCAATTCGAACTTTGGTCCCAAGAGCGATTTTCAAAGACAGTCTCGAGACTTTCAGGTATGATCAATTGGTCTATCGGGAATGATTCATTAAAAATTTCCGTGAAAATGTCCAAGATCTATATTTTGCGAATCCAGGTAAAGAATTAATATATTACAAATATTTGTAATATGATATTTAATAAGCATGCCCATTACGAAACCATATCCTTAAATTTAAAACATTATTTACACCACGATGCATCACAGATAAATTTTAATTTCATTATCGTTCTTCGTAAAAAATTTGTTATAACGATTAAAATTTATATCCAAGACAAGTGTAGACATGTAAGTTAAAAGAGCTAATTTCCAGATTAGTAATCAATTAAATTAAATTTCTAAGAAAAACTTTTTAAAAAACGAAATTCTTTTCAAAGGCACACGATACTACGCACGGTCTAACAGAAACGAAAATTTTTCAAAAAAATTTCGCTCTTCGTAAAATTAATCGTCGTCGAGATCACGCCCATCAGGTTCTCGCGAGCAAATTGTTCCGAACTATGGCCACGCCAGTAGGAGGGTAAACTGTCTCTACTATGCGACACCGAGAGACTTGTCAAAATACGTCAATGCATGAGTAATAGTGTCTGTTTTGTTCTTTTCACTCGATGCAAGAAGAAAGGGATGAACGAGCCGCGCCCAGCCACGAGAAAAGGGGTGAATGGATAACAATTAGGTGGATCTTCGTCCTCAGAGAATATTTCCACGAGAGCAGCACAATCTCTGATGTATTCCTCGAGATATTTCAATGAAAAACTCCGTTCTCAAGGGAGATGCAACAATACCGACGACAAACTAGCAACAGATGTTAAAATATCAATCCGTATCGTTTTTCTTCGATATGGTGGAAATTATCGTGTTAACATTTAAATATTTTTCTTAAATTGCGTAATAGTTACTTAGAAATCTTTAAAGGAGTAATAATAAAGTTTGTGTATTTATTTTATTAATAATTTAATATTTTTCTTAATATTTTTTTCCACTTTGTATGAAAAATCGCGTAAGTGTTTTTAAATAAATCTTTAGAATTTAATACAATGGGCGTACATTTCGTAATTTACATTATATCAATCGTTCAATAAAATTAGAAAATTTTCATTTACCTATAGATAAAATTAAAGTTATATCCAATTTTACCTGTTATATCGTTAAAAATTATTATTTTACCATTTACAAACACATCTACATATGTATTCTTTAATATGTAATCCTAATGTAAAGAATACAATAGAACGTTTAGATATACGAATTCCCGATAAATTTCTATTCTACGAATTTAATATTCATTTCCTGGCAAATTCATGCAAACGAAGTTCCCCGTCAAAAATGCATCCTTCGTTTCCAATCAATATATTCACTCGTGTGATGAATATCAACCGCTCAACCACGATCAAGAGAACGATATACAAAGACAGAGCAAAAGATTCAACAAAACTATCATCCGAGCCGGTTGGAACACGTTGAAACACGACTTGTTCCGCGATCCTCGTTCCATCCTCTTCCCTCGCACACCGTGGCCAGCTAATATCTCAATCGTTTAAGTGGTTTTCGTCGGTGCATCCATCCGCCTATGCAACCCGACGTGCACGAGCGTGGCACTCGATAATACGCGGCCATTTTCATTTACCGGCCACGCAAACCGCGTACGGTTAGTAGAAGGCAGAGAGAAACGCACATTGGCAGCTCGAGAACTGGTACATCGTCGTCCACACGGTGGAGAGAAAAGGAGAAGAGTCGTGGAGGGCAGTCGTCAGAAAAGCACCGGCCATTACGAGTGTTACAGCGGCGGTTCGCGCGGCGCGTCAAAGAGCGCTCATTAAATGCTGGCAATTAACTGCGGGCCACAAGCTCTCTCTCCGAGCCTCTCTCCTCTTAGGAGAGCTTCGCTCTTTCCACTCCTCGAGCCCGTTCCTCGCTCGCACTCTCGCGCTTTCCACGCTGGACCTCGCGTGGTTGTAAAAGCGAGCCAACACTTGGACTTGGAGGCCCGCACGCTTCTTTAATGGGGGCCCAACAAGAACGATCGGCATGCGACCCATCTATCACACCGCGACGCTGTTATTCAACGCTTTGCATCTTCACCCGGATGAGATTTCAACCGTTTTCAAATTTCGCCTTCGATAGAAATTTTTCGTTTCGAGGCGGGTTTGAGGTTAGGAATCGAACGAATTTAGTTAATTTTATACGCAAAGGATGGAAGGAAAACGATGTATTGTATCTCGTCTTAACGCTCGATGCTTGGAAGAATTGAAGAATCGTTTCGAGACGAGTTTTGAAATTGAAGTGATTTTTAATTCGTCCTAAGAAATGATTTATAAAAAACGACGAAAATCTGAAAACTATTCAATCGTTCGGGTTTAATACTTTCGATAGGTAGTTTATTTTATTAGATATGATGTTCGATAAGAGTAAGCGAAGTTTACGGACTATATTTCTGGATGCTGGACCACACGCAGGTGAAAAAGAGTGAAGTAGCAACAGCGAAGAAGCATTTTTCAGGTCAATCTATCGAGACCTTTCAGCGAGAATACGTCGCCGTTTCTCGACAATCGAGCCTATTGACAATTGCCGCCAGTAAATCAAGATGGCAGCGCTTTTGTGGGCCCAGCAATGCCCACGGAAAGATGGTGATGCGGTCACAGCAAAAGCTTTTGCTCCTACGCCGCTTCTATTGTCGCGGCTACGATTCGAGTGGAGCCGTATACCGACTTCGAGGTGTAAATGTCAACGATAAAAAGAAGGAAACTGGAAGATGACCTTTCCTGTTTACACTCCACCGGTTGCTCCATTCATCGTCGCGAACGAATTGCTTCTAAATTGCTGTACTTTTCTTTTCCCGTGAATTTTAACATTGCAGTTCGATTTTTTTGTCTACTAAAATCGAAAAACTTGTTTTATTGTCTTTAATGAGTATTTGAGTTAATTAATCAATTCGATTTAATAATACTGAGGTGTATGAAGATTTAAAAAGAAACAGAAATTATAATACGTAAGTACAATATTTCATTAATTTCTTATTAATTAATTTTATTTACATACGAGAATTTGGATTATTATAAATGTTTCAAATATGCAATACTCCAAATATGTTTTAAATTTATCTATAATGGCTACACAAAAAGCATATCATTATGTTTATCGGATAGACGCTGATTAATTGAATCCAAGTATTATTATTTATTTTATTAAATGCAATGTAATATTTTCATACGATCGATGCTCTCTATTAATCATTTTAAACCTAACTACCGAATAGAATTTTCCTACAATAAAATTATGTTATGAACGTGTAACACAATATAAGACCGGAAATTGTAATATAGTTTATTCTTTTTTATGTCCGAAAAAATATCGAGGGTAAAAAAAGTAGAAAGTCAAAGATCGGTGTGTGAAACGAATCACGAAATTGCTAAGACCGACAGGAAAAGAAAATTTTACGGTCATTTTCGATGGAAATCAATGTAAAAGACACACATCGATTGTTATCGATATTTGATTTTTAAAAACAATATTAGCGTCTTCGATAATTTGTTAATTAATATCTAATATTAGTGACTTTTTTTAAATGCAATTGTAAATTAGATATATATTTTCGCATGAAAGTATATACAGTTTTGTACTTAATATTGAATTGAAATAATAATTTCATAAAAAAGTTAATAAAAGTTGACTTGCACTCCTCTTAATGTAGAATCTTTGATTTTACAATTTTAAGTCAAAGAGAAACGAATGATAGTAATTATTTTGATTAATTTTCAAAAGTATGAAATAAAATTTTATGTTTTATAATTTTAATAAAAATTCATGAGAATTTATTTATTGATAAATATTATAAAATAAAAAGACAATAATTTTTAATAAAAAAAAATATTCAACTATCTATAAATATTCACTAAATACTTCTTTTTGTAATATATTAATTTTATAATTATCGCACGTATACACATACATATATTAAACGTAAATAATTTTTTAAAATTATAATATGTAATATTAATTTAGGAATAAAATATTAAATAAAATATTATAATAGATGAGTTATGGAATAAAAATATGGAAGAAAAATTCTAAGTCTTGGAATTAATTTTTTTTATTCTAATTTATAAATTATGTGTGGAAATGCAAAATATACATATCATTCCTGAAACGAATGATATTTCAAATAAATCTAATTCTAATAAATCATTTCTACACTCTAATTTGAAATAATATTATGATATTATGATATTTTTTTCTATTAGCGATAAATATTACATCTACTAATTCGATGCGTGAAAGAAGAGAATAGAATTTGTCGAAATTGAGTAAAATAAAGAGATATGAATGACTTCAAACATTGCTGAAAATATTAAAGATGAGAATAAAAAATCAAGTAAAAAATCCTTCCTTTTTTACTATACTTTTATCTGAACTTTGTACAATATATAAATTATATGCATTTATAATATATATTTTAACAATAATTTCGTTTGTAATATCAATATAAAGTTCTAGCAATATAGCGAATATAAATAGAGACAGCATATAATAAGAGAAGGACAAAGATAGATTAAAAATTATGACATTAGTGCCATCTCTAGAGTGCCGCATGAAACACACAAACAGAGAGAGCAAACAATAGGAAAAGGATAGAAATAGGGTAAAAATTGACTATTAGCGCCATCTCTTGAGTATCAAAAATATTTCTTCAAATAGGATAAAGTAAAGTAAGAATTGAAGATTAGCGCCATCTCTTGACTGTTTCAGAAAGATGATTCTTTAAAAAAGTGTTCTCGACATGCAAAAGATGGCACTGACGGTTAATTCTTAATCCTATCTCTATCCTTTTCTCACTATTTGCTTTCCTTGTTTACATGTGTTTCGTTTGCGGCACTCTGGAGATGGCGCTGATTCCATAATTTTTATTCTATCTCTGTCTTCCTTCCACTATTTACTCTCCTTGTCTACGTCTCTGCTTGTTCTACGATATCTTTGATATCTAATCGATCTTATTATTCTTTTTTTATATATCATAAATAAATAAATAATTGATATAAATAATTGAATTAGTGAAATAATAAGAGAATAAATTAATTAAATAATAAATATATATTAGAATTTTGAAATTATATAATGTCGATTTTCGGACGAAGTGTTGAAAATTCACCGGAAAATTTTTTTTTGTCGTATTTGTCAAAACTTGATACGTTTTGATCATTTTCAATGTATCATTGATTTTAAATCATTTTAAATCAATGTTTTAACTATGTTTTATTAAAAATACATGTAATAACTGTAAAGATCCAAGACGGTCACCAATTATTGTTTGTCAACAAACTTTTTTATCTATAAAAAAAACCTATCATAAATTCTTACCAAATAATTACCTTCATTTATGATTCTTCTAAATTCAATAATGTTAATATGTATAAAAAAAAAAAAAAATAAGTAAATAAATAAACAAATAAATTTTTTAATATAAATATTGATTAGGATAAATGTTATATAATAATAATAAATGATTAAATTCTAAAAATATATTTATCGCTTTATGAGCTTACTAGAAAATGATGACTTATCCCTTTATGCGTATAAAAAAATTGCAAGAAACGAAATTCACAGAAAGAAGCATACGTTTTCTTTACCGAAAAAAAGATATTTTTTTCAACGCAACGATTAATAATTTTAGTGATTTTCAAATTTAAATATTATTAATTTTATTAACATCCAACGATTTATTATAATATTAAATGAAATAATTGATACTTTTACAAACAAAAATCAGATTTGCTATTCTACAGTATTAATTTTCCACTTATAGCTGTATTAAAATATTTTAACTGCTATTTTACGAGAAGAATGCTTATAGAATGGCCACAAATGATTAGCGATTACCGGTAATAGTAATCGAGAATAACTATGATACGAAATAGAAGTCCTACTTTGTGCTAAATTAAAAGTGTCAAAACCCGTAAAGAACGGAAAAAAAAAAAAAAAAAAATTAACTACGCGTACTATTTCAATAAAATTATAATAAAATTAAAATTATAATAATTGTAATCACAAATTGCTCATCATATTAACTCACACAGAAGAATTTTCCAAAACGATTTACAAAGCCGTTATTTTCGCGCATATAAAGCTACTTCTAAAGGGAAATATTAACGTTCGAAACAATCACTTTTAGTATTCGGAACCGTGTTTTAGATTTTATTTTATGGTGATTTCAATAGCTAAAGATTATTTTATGGTGTTTCAATAGCTAACGGTGTCATAAACACGGTAATTCTAAGTGGTCATTAGTAACAAAACATAACGGTCCTCCCGGTCAAGGATCAGACCCAGCGGAAAAATCTGAGCGCGCATAGACCCTTGCGTCCAAACAAGGACATCTATTTCCTGCATAACTTATTAGTACATTGGTGATTGGCTGGTTTTCCATTTCCCATTTTCCCTAAAAACCAATCAAAATTAGCGTGCATAATTCCTACAAGTATTTGTATCTCTTGAAAAAATCTTGACGGTTCAGTTCTTTTCGAACACTCGTCATATTATCATCGATTATATCTTATAAGTTACATCTTGTAAACATATAAGTTTATCGTTTCAGTTTATATATCATTCGAAGAATGATGACACAAATTTTTTAAAAGTTTCGAAAATTTTTTGTGAAAGTGATTTAAAAATTTTGAAAACTTTAATATATTATTGTGTGAGGTGAAAAATTAACTTATTTTTGCAAACATGTCTATCGTTTTTCAAAAAATGGTGAATATTTTATTTAAAAATAAGTAATTATAAATAAAATATCAATATAATAATAATTTTTTTTAAATAAATATAAAATATTTCACAGTAATATTGAATTAATAGTAACAGACATGATCGATTATTCTGATATTTGATTAATTAAATTTCAAAAATTTTATAAGTATTCTTGAATTGAATACTTATAATACGATTAAATTATAAGAGTTAGAAAAAAGAAAGAAGAAAAGAAGAATAATTTGTTAATTTCCTTCTTTTTTCGAAAATACAAATATATCTTCATTTCTCTCAGTAATATTATAATAAACATTTATTTTACAGTGCAAACTATTCGCGCGAAACTCTACGGGAAACGAATCGAGATTTAACAAAAGAGAATGGAACCAGTGGATAGCATGTATTTCCGGTTGGTATTTTATGTCGTACTAAAAATGAACATTGAAATATATTTGTCACTAAATAATTTTTTTCTCTATAAATAACTTAATCTTACAACATTCAATTCTTTTTCTAATTTATTAAAAAATATAATTAATTGCTTAATTATTAATTATATATTTCTATTTATCCTATATTACGGTACATGATTTTTTTCCTTCAATAGCAAACGATTAAATTATATTAATTGCATAATACGTACAAGTTATACACGACGATTTGCTAAAACATATCTTCTATTTCAGCAACCCTTATCATGGTGATCACCGGCACGGTTCAAGGATGGACAACGGTTTTTCTGCCACGATTAAAAAACGGCACCTACAACAACTTGCCATTCCCAATGACGAACGAAGAAATATCGTGGATCGTCTGTTTGAAGGGAATCGGTTCTATAATCGGCCGACTGTTAGCTTACAATTTGGTCCACGTCATCGGTCCTAAAAATTGCCTTTTGTTATCCTGCCAATGTTTCGTCTCAGGCTGGTTCCTCGTATTGAGCGCGGCAACGTTGCCAACAATGTACGGCGCCCGAATAATCCTCGGCACAGGTGTAGGTATATCCAACATGGTGTACCCTATGTACATATTGGAAATGGCGGACGGCAGTGTGAGAGAAGCGTTGACCACGTTGTCGGTGACGAGCGTGCTTTTCGGATGGCTGATGAGCTTCACCGTGGGATCTTTCGTGTGTGAAACAACGCTCGTGAAGATTCTTCTGTACGCGTCGATATCGTTCATCCCGTTGCTGGCAATTTTCCCCGAGAGTCCTCTCTTCTTGGTGAGGAAAGGTTATGTGACCGAAGCTTGCCAGGCGATGTCATTTTTCAAGAATACACCTAACCTCGACGAAGCGAAAAAGGAATTGGTGTTGCTTATACGAGCGCATTCGAGCAACGGACGAAAATACAGGTTCAAGAGCGGTCGAATTTCGAACGATGAATTACGAAGTATTACGAACGGAAATAGAAAACGTTGGTTGAAAAAGTTGTCGCTCGTGCTACTCCCGAACAACATATACGCCCTGTACATTGCGTTCCTGTTGATCACGTTGCAACACTCTAACGGGTATTTCTGCATTATGGAATATTTTCTGATAATATACGAGAAAAATATGATCGACGCGAATATAGCGATGATCTTGATTCTGACCACCTCGCTTGTATTCGCCTTCTACTTCGGCATCACGTTGAGAAACGCGAGAAGACGATGGCGTGTGATGAAATCTACGATCCTGTGCATGTGCGTGTTAATTATCTGGGCCCTCGATCTTACGTTCGTTAACAGAATTAACAACAGTGTGAGCGTCAATAACCTGATAATAGTGTTCGCAATTTTGTACCAGATAACGTTTCAATTAGGGCTAGGGATGATACCTAACGTGATTATCGACGAAATATTTAGCCCGGAATTGAAAGACGTAGCTTATATCGTCGTTATGATTTACGACGATATCCTTTATTCGGCCAGTCGAAAATATATCTAAGGTTTAGCGATAATGTCGGACTCGACTCGGTATATTATTATTTCGGATTGACGTGCATTTTTTTGTTCAAGTGTATTGATTTTTTAATGCCTGAGTCGAGAGGTAAAACGAACCGTTTGATGCAAGAGATCTTAAGAGAGGACTTCATCTATATTTTAGGACTTAATATACTGTAAGATTAATCGAGTAAGATATATTTTTGACATAGATGAGGGGATGAATTGCGTTACAAAATTTTTCTTTTCATTATGAATATTAAAAATTTTGCATCTGTGATAAAGTGTAATAATAATTGTGATTATATCTTGTCAGTTTGAAGGACAATTTAAATTATAATAATTAGTAGAATTGAAATAATGGAAAGTTATAGTTATAAGATAATAGATGTGTGATATCGCATGTACTATATCAGATTTATTTATTTTAGATCATTTTTAACATTTTAACGTTTTATATTATTTTCACCAAATTTTTATTATTCGTATTTCATTCGTTTTGTTTAAAGTCAAATTTTAATTTTAATGATTGTAAGTTTTTAGACTTTTTTATAAATTGAAAATTGTAGAAAATACAATAGTAAAATAAAATAAAATAGTAAGGTGACTTCAAAGTGACTCTTCTTCTGACATGGAACAAGAAAATGTAAATTTTGTATTTATATATACTAACATACTATATTTTTAAAAATATTTTTTTTCATTAAAAATTCGTTGCTTGTTAATGTTAAATTGTAACGTTAGCAATCGAAAAATATAAAAAAATGAATATAATAAATATTGTCAATTTTTTACAATAAATTGATCAACATTGACATTTTTTTTATTATTATTATTACTATTAGTAATAACTAGATAAAAAAGTACAAAGTTGCAACATACATCCATTATTGCTTACGTTTCATATATATTTTTTTTAATTTAATATCTCAAGAACGAATTGAGATATTAATTTTATCACGATATTCATAGGAAAATTTCATTTTACTGTCTTTATTAAAGTTATGAGAATTAGAATTAAAAAACACATCTTTTGCATGTATATATCTTATATAATATTAATTAAATAAAAGCTACCAAAATACTTATTTATTAATATACATTTTTTTACAAAATGCAATATTACTATAAATCACTTATTGATATATATTTACAGTTGAAATTGTTGAATAATTAAAAACAAGGGATAATATTATATATGATATTAAAAAAGACTGGAAATAGAAATATAGATGTATTAACCCTTTTTTATATATAATACATTTATAATAACTATTTTTTAATAAATCTATGTATTTTATAAACATTTTTGTGTTAAATTTTCTTGTAATTGAAAAAATCCTATGAAGATAATTAAAAATTATATTTATCTAGGCATCACAATGCGCATGATTAGTAATTATTCTTATCTAAAACAAGTAGATGTTTCTTAAAATATACATATCTTATATAAAATTATATTTGAAAAGAAAAAAAATGAATATTTTTCGTATTATAAATTAATGAAATTAACAATATCTCTTTTTTGTTTTTGCATTCCTTTTTTTCTTTTCGTAATTAAATATTTCTTTAAGGTAAAACTTTCGTTTGACATATGTATTGTTATAAAGTTTATTATATTTTACAGTGATATAAATTAAAGTGTTATAAATTTTCTTTACACATAATGTAATTTTAATGTAATAATATATATTATAAAAAAAATCTTTAATAATAATAAAATAAATTCTTCCATTTTTAAATCACCATTATGTGTATTGAAAATTACATTATAAATAATGAGATCGGTTATAGCAATAGGAAAAATTACGATTTATAAATATAACAATTAAAATATATTAATATTAGAAATAATAGAAATTAAAATTGGTTTATAAATGTAAATAACAAACATAAAAAATAGTAAATTTAAACCAACCATTATGTAATAAAATACAATTCTTCGAATCAATGTACTATCATTTATTTATACACATAGTATATACTTAATAAATAATAAAGGAATAATAAAGGATAATTGAGGAATATTGAATATTCTTATTTTCAGACTTATATCCACATATTTCTTTCTCTTTTCTTTACAATAATAATACATTTTGACCGTTTAATCTTTTATGAGCAAAAATATTTTTCATATCCTTCGTGATCAAGCTAAATTGTTTGTTACACTTGTCCACAAAACTTGTCTCTGCTTCGTTATAGAATCACAAATACATCTCTTCTTTAATATATAGCCATAAAAAGAGTTCAAAAAAGCAAGAATAAAATTCTTTTCGAACAGATTCAACAATAAAATTTTTCAGAAAAATTTTTGAAACAAAAATGGATTACTTTGAAATATTCCACTCCATAATAAAACGTTTAAGAATAGAATTTTAAAAATTACCAAGGCCGCCACATAGGATCAACTTCATCAACGCGTTCCACATCGATTTCCTCTTCGTCCTCAACTTTGATCTCAGTTTTAACTTTCTCCGCTGTTTGCCCCTCCTTCGAGTCTTTCGCCATTTCGGAAATGCAACCTCTTTCTAACTTTTCCCCATTTTCTAAGGTCGTCCCGCTGTTACATCCGGATTGAATGTTAAACGTAATTGCGGAATCAGAAATTCTTCCACGATAAGTGGCCGCATTTTGATTGGAAGATGCTACTTGAACGTTATCGATGGGAATCGACGAGGCCAGTAAATCAGCAGTAAGATCCAAACTTGCCAAAGTTTGGGTCAGCACGTTTGTTTTCAGCTGCGTGGAAACAATACATTGAACAAATCAACTTGACGATTTCCTTTTATTCCACGTGCGAAATAATTTGTATTTACATCTATCTAAAAAGGCATCGATTCTTTGTATGAGATTAAAGAACCATCTTGCGGAAGAAAATCGAAGCTATTTTTAAAAAATAGAAACATTCCAATATTTCTAGATAATTAAATACACGATCTGGTTAAAGTAAAAAAAAAAAAAAGAAAACGATGAGATAAGATCTTGATAAAAGGAAGGATTAAGAAAAATTTTCACGAGACAAAGAGTGACGATTCATCATCGTTCAATTCCAAGGACGGAAAGTGAAGCAAGTGCAGAGGGCGCCACACGTCAATCTCGGGTAAAAAGCGCGGATAATCGTATCCGGAATATAGGATAACTTTCGTCTCTTCGATCGATCGATCGATGATGATGATGAGATAATTACCGTCGAGTTCGTTTGCCGGCTCTTTTGAAGGCCAGCTGCGAGATGCCTCGCTAACCTTTCCGCGCCTTCACCTGGAACAGCCGAGAGAAATCTGTACGCCTCAGCTGCGCAATGGCCGAAACCGGATAACCACCGATTTTCGGCCGAGACCTCGTCGTTCTTCGTCGCGGTGTCCGGCAACCCGGTGGAGGATCGTGAGCTCTGCAGCCTTTGTAAATGGCGCACGGTCAACTCCAGAATGTCCGCTTTCTCCAGCTTGCTTATGTCCTCCCCTTCCGTCTGCGACCAATCAATTTCTCATCGTTCGATAATTCGAAGGCAGAGAGATGTGTTTCTCGTGAATTGGGGAACAACATCCGGGCTAAACGTTCGTTTTTTGAAAGATTTAATTCTTCGCGTAATATAGGAAGGATAATAGAAGCGGTATGAATAATTCGTGTAACACGAAGAGTAATGTGATTTAGTAGAAATTAATTGATTTCTAAATATTTGTACAATAATTAAGTATATCGAGTGTTAATCGAAACAGGTTGGTTGGTATTTGGTTACTTAAAAAATATACGATCAAATCATAAATTAATTGTTGTAAACATTGTAAGAAAAATATTGTTATATTTTTAGTAAAAATATCGCGAAACAGTTTTCTGCGAATATAATTAGCATGAGTTTCTTGAAATAAAGAAAATATGCGTAAAATGTATCGTGTAAGATGTAAAAACAAATGTGTAAACAGGAATTTAGTAAAAAAAAAAAAAAAAAAAAAAAAAACTGTATAAAATTAAATCGTGCAAAAAAATACTGTGTAAAATGAGGGCCGGATATAATTTGTTTTTAAAATTTTTAAAGCATAATTTGGGATGGTAAACATTTTAAAATTGCTACCGATTTCGAAATAAGTGTAAGTCATAATTACAGGTGCAGGTATAAACGATCTTCCTTCCCTAAATATATTATTGATATATTGGATTAATACGACAGAAAAAAATAGTATCATGAATGAAATCGAAGCAACAATTTTTGCTTTCTCATTTATTACGATCCGATACACCTGTCCTTTCCATGAATCTTTCATTCAGCGTTGCGAACTGCTATCATCATCCAATGAAAATTAACTAAAAATACTGATATTATCAAACAGTTGCTTGTTTCCTATGTAGAACGATTCATAAATTTTGACGTGTATATATACAATTTTTTGAATGACACACTGATGATACGGTGCAAAAAAAAAAAAAAATAAAAATAAAATAAAATAAAATAAGTATTTAAAAGGAAGTGGTAAATTGGATGCAATTTAAATATTCAAATTAAGTCAAGTAACTTCACAATATCGAAATATTAATTTCATCGAAATTACTGATATTAACACAGAGAAATGTGAGTGAGTATTTTGACCGTAAATAGGTCAAAGTATGAAATCACAAATATGTTTCATAAAATCTAAAAATTTGAAGAAAAAAAATTTTATTACGTTGACAAATTTTTTTTTGAAAAATTTTTAATCGATATTGTAATTTGATTAATTGGTTTTCCTCATTTTTGAAGCATACGATAAAACATTTCGAATTATGTTTCAAAGATACGAGAAAAATTTTTTTCAAACGCTTCGATGAATTTACTCTTGTGCTCTATATCCTGTTTCCCATACTTTTACCGCTCGAAAGAGTTTCTGATAGACTAGCGAAAACATGATCAAAATGAGAAGCTATCTCACGATCGAATGTAAAAACAGATATGTATTTGTTTAACGCGATCATTCCGACAGAAGAACCGAGACGAATTTGAATTTCAAAGGCGTACGTAAATAATCTGTAAGCGTGAAGAGTTTACGCTTCATGATTCCATGGAATGGTCAGTAAGGAATCTGATGGACCTTCCAACATTAATTATTTGAATAAAGCTATTTTAATCCCATCACATTTAAAACATTCGAGTCCCTAATTTCGAATGAACGTATGATAAAACAAAATATTTATATAAAATTGTTTTTTGGTAAGCAAAAAATGGTACTTAATTTTTCAAGAAATATCGTGACTTTATCATATGACGATAAAGAAGATAGAAACTTCTTGAAAGTTGCTCGATCTCTTCATAGATGGCGCAAAACCAAAAACCTATATTTAATATTACCTGAGTTGATTTTTTTCTTATTTTCTGGAATTCAACATTATCGTACATCGAACTTCTTTATTGCAAAAAACGATATAAAATTAAATATCTTATTTAGAAATCTTATATAGAATAATTGCATTCGATGAAATTAATCTGTGCTCCAATAAAATTCTTGATTACTCACGACAAGGTTTCAATTTACGATTTTTCTCCTCTCTGAGTTTCCAAAATAAAATTCAAAATGGAAGGAAACATCAAAATAAAGCATTTCCTTAAATTAAGAGCAACATTAATTCGTGAATCCGTTGAGAAATAATAAAAATTAATTACAAAAGCTGCAATAAATATTTTTTCCAATTCAAAAAATAATCATCTAACATAGAAACCATATTACATATATCTCTATCACATAAATCTCGACCATATAATTAGCTACCATTAAATCACTGAATCTTCGCGTGATCATATGCGCCATTCCATGCATGATTCTGTTCGACGTTAAAGCAAATGCAATATTCCATTCGCGATAAAAATGTAATCGAGTTAGCAATGTTGAAAAATGTGTGTCTTCATACTATTTCGATAACAGCTTCGCACGATTGCGAAATTGCAATCTTTTACTTACTCAAGCAAAGTTGCTGCACCGGTATTACCACTTCGTAAAATGGGTTTTTATCTTTGTATAAATTTTCTGTTGAAGTACAGAAATGTTGATTCGTTAGAAAACTCGTGTGGATTGCAGTAAATTGCAATATTTATCTCTAATTTTTGTATTTTGCACTCTTTAACGGAATAAAAAATTATTTATAACTTTGAAAATATTTTCCGACCCACGTTCGTTACAAATACTTTTCTATCCGACTTTCTTAAAAATTTATGAACTCTCTTTTATCGTCACTATTATACGTCATAACAATAAAGTAAAAAAATTAAAAATGAAACACTGACTTATAATTAATTAAATTTCTTCTTCAAACAACTCCCTTCTTCAAATCAATTCCTATCAACCTATTGTCAATAAATTTTTCTCTTTTTCTTGCAATAATTATTATAATAACTTATATATTATTTACACAACTAAAAATTATACATACATACGAATAACTTCTTTAGAAAAGGCAATTTTAATAATCAGAAAATCACGAAATCTCGGTTGAATAAAAATTTCAAACTTTTTCTTACCGCAAAACAAAGACAAAAGAGGAGGAAATCTCATTAATCAATTCACACGCTGTTTATCTCAAAGTAGCGGTATACAAAGGTATACGAGAATTTATCTTTAATCCTTATCGAGCGACGTCAGATCCCCCCATGCTAACTGCTCGGTCAAAAGACATCGCAATTAACGCCATATATTAAACGTAATGAGCATGGTCGAAGCGTTAAATACCGGCTTTCATAATTACCGGCTTGGGTCGCGTGTTCTCTTGTCACTATATAGCGAGCGAGCGAGTTTCCCACGGTCTAGGAATATTTAAGCACTAAATCGATTGCACGCGTAGCTGCGGACCGAGAATGCATTTCCTGCTGCGAGCCACTCGTGAAATTACAGAGGGGAAACGTGGTATCGCGGCCGGTAAGTCGAGCAAGAAACCGTGGCTTCCTTCCAAAGGTTTCTCGATGGAGGGAAAAAAGCATAGCACGTGCTCGTTCGACCAATGTATCGCCGTACAGAGCCGTCGATGAAATCACGGATCTGGTGACATTTATAGTATTGCCACCTTATCTGTATTATTTTTCTTCGTTCACGGTTTCATGGGATATTTTTTTTTTTTTCCAAACTTTGCGTATTGCGAAAATAAGATAGGGGCGTGCAAAAGTTTCGATTAGGTTTTCAATCATTATCATTTAAATTATGGATTTACTAGTGACATTTCATGCTTCTACGTGATTAATTCTGGGAATATATTATAGGGTGTTTTTCAAGTTCTTCGAAAGGAAATTTCTGTAAAGGTATAAATATCAGGTATACGTTTAAAAGTTTCGATGGCAATAAATGGTCAAAAAATGATTTATTGTGTTTCTTTTCTCTATAGCTCGTGAATATATATAGAATATTCAGGTTAATATTCAGAGAAAGTTTTTCTTATAAAAGTACGATATTCCCATATATTCAAAATATGATCCAAAGTGATATAAATAGAACGTTTCGAAAAGATACATTTCTTATTTACTGGATGCATGCTCGATTTTATTTTAATAAAAATATGGAACAATAAATGTAATTGTAAAATATTTCAGAAATTTATTATTTCGATTTCATCGTAGCAATTAATTATTAATCTAATCTAATCGTTGAAGTTGAAGAAATTCAACAACAATTTGTCAATCGAATGATCTCATAATTTAAAGTAAAAATTATTTGAAATGAAATTAACGATATAATTCATCAAAAATAAATGTAGAAAGAGGATAATTCTTATTAATTGGAATAAAAATCTAGATATTAAAAGGGAAATATTTTGCATGAACTGTGTAATAATTCATGAAAAATATAATAATATAATAACAAATACGTACCTCTAACGCATCTATCATAAGATTTTTCAACTCGTCGAGACATTTATTTATGCGCGCACGTCGTTTTCTTTCCAACAATGGCTTCGTTATCTGTTGTAAATAAAATAACAAACTCATATGAAGTTTTACAAGATAAATTGTATAAACAAATGGATGAAAAGATATGGATTATCAAACTATTTTTATAAAGAAAATTTCATAAATTTTTGTATAAAATGAAAAAAGAAAAATTTTAATTATATAAAATATGTAATTGTATTACACGATATAAAATAGATATTTTTCAATCTGTTTCTCTCTATTTCACTTACTTTTTTATACCGGTACGTCTTTGAAACTGGATGAGGAAATTCGTATGACATCATTGCACGAGCTATATCTCTTCAAGATTCGATAAACATCCACATCTGATTATCAAAGAAGTTGATATATCTTGAAATATAAATATTGAAATCAAAACATCTAAAAAGAAAGGCTTTATAATTATAAATTGAAAAATGAAGTATTCATTTTCTTTTTTTTAACATATCACAATCTGTATACATATTAATCTATCAAAATACATATAAATTGTAATAACGTTTCACAACAAAAATATTTTCGTCTTTTCAGAAATTATAAGTATACAAATAAAATGTATCATTCATTGTAACAACAACTTTCAAATGAACTTTTAAAAAAGGAAGATTATATTAAACCATAATACACTTTATAATCAAATCTTTAAATTCACCAATAAAATTCATCAATATAAAAAAAAACATTTATTTATTTCTCGTACTCAACGTTATGTATAAACTTCTTCAAAAAACAAAGACTAATCCTTCAAATTTATCCAAATTTCATCGATACATATCTCAACGATCGAACCGCTTACCCTCGATTGTCGATCCACTTTTAGAACCACAATCCTCACAAACCGACGACCGAAGCATACATCGTCAAACGTCGGCTGTACACGTACAAACGTCGTATTAAACTTGGACGAATCACGGAAACCCCATTCGACACTTTCCATACACGCGAACGTATAGGAAAAACGTGAGAGCGAATATCTGTGACAAATACAGAGTGAGATTCACCGACACCTAGAAGAACCTAACGCACCGCGTGCAGTCTCTAGACAAACTGACTCGCCGCCGCCATTCAAGTAACCGCTACCCTCACCAACTTGGAACCCTCTGCAGAAGCTACTCTTCTCAAGCCAGAAGGTCGGTCTAAATGCTTTGATTGTGTTATACCTACACCTTGAAGCGTGACGGGCGTCCCGACGCTCGTTGGAACTTGTTTGGATCCCGATTCGATCATCGTCGTTGATGTTTGCTTAATCGTTGATTATTAGGTCGACTCTTGCTTCGCACTTTTATGCGGTATTTATCCATTTATCCATTTGGTTTTTTTTTTTTTGTTATTTGTTCTTCATTCGTTTGAATATTCAGTGGAGGTAATGGAAAAGTTAAGATGATTATTGTAGGATTTTTATAATAGTAATAATTTTACGAAGATGGTTTTTATTGAATTATTTTTATTAATTAAATATATTCATCAAGTATTCTTTAAGGCTTAAGATTCTTCTCAGTGTCCCTATTTTTATAGGGATTTTAATCTTTGTTTCTTCGATCGTTCGAATATTTAATGATGGTAATGGTAAAATAATGATTATAGAGTTTTAGAATTTTTCATCCCCTTTATGTATTCAATGTAGACACAAATTGAATACAGACTTATCCTTTTTTTTTTATATAGTTTATAAATTAAAAAATGTTTAATCCTAAAGGATTTGATCTGATAAATAAATAGAGAATATTTAATTCGTCAGTCAAATCGAGGATATATTTATCGAGAAATAAACTTTAAACGAGTTAAACGAGAAATAAACTTTGCATATATAAGCATATATAATTCGATAATTTCATGATAATTGTATTTTTATATCTATGTATTTTTATTTTCGTCTTTCTCGTGGGAAATTCATTAAGAAAAGTTTAGTTAATTAAAGTGTAAATTGGAAATATAAATAAACAGATAACAATAATATCAAATGAATAAAAAAAGAGGATAGGATTAAAATATTCTTTCGTTTTAAGAATTTTCCCATTGGGGAGTGTAATAATATTTTAGAAATCTCGTTATAATAATATAGTGAAATTACATCTGGAGAAAGATAATCAGTATAAATAAGCACGTATATAATTCTGAAATCTTTTTTACCCAATCTTTTGCATTATGCATGCGAGCGAGTATGTATCCAGTAATAAGAAAGGTTTCGTATTAACAAAAGTAATTTAAAAGTGAATGGGATCCGTGTTATGGGGATGAAAGCGTCGCAATTAGCATTTGAAAAAATTTTCACAATTTAACGAGAGGAAAGGAAAAAATTTTGTACAATCACACATATAGAATTAAAGTTAAAAGTTAAAAACAAGAACAGGAGCCATTACAGAAAAGAGAGTTGGATTTTTTTTTTTTAAATTTACGTGTATATATTCATTTTGCACGTAACTGTTGTAATAAACAACTATACAATTATTTTTTTTTTCTAAATTTTTAGAAAGTCTGGTAGAATTGAAAATTTTTCTATCAAACAAAATATAATGGAATACAAGCATAATTTTTTATTCCAATTATTCGTCTCGTAAAAGATTATTCCCTCTGAACGATTTAATTTACTAGAAATGAATGATTTCGAAAAGAAAATTATAATAATTCTTGCTGATTTATAACATGACATAATTTTTATTTTCACGAAATAAATATTCCTCTCCACTTAAGAAAACTATAAAAACTATCCCACCATCGAAAGAACAATCATAATTTTTAAAAATACGCATTAACATCGACTTCGCAATAAAATTGACACAAATTAATCAATCGAATGAGTAATTGGCAGAAAAGAGAGAGAAAAAGAAAAGAAAAGAAAAGAAAAAACAAAACAAAAAAAAAAATAAGGAAAACACAATAGAAGGGTTAAAATCACTTACGTAAGCCAAATCGAAATTGTAAGCCAAGCTCTCTTTTGTATACGCCGTTTAATCGGCGAACGTGCGCTTATCAATAGAATACGAACGCGTAACGTCCATTTATGAGTGTGACTGACATGATCACGTTCTCTCACTACCGCGGCCTCCATTGACGGCATCGTGGCCATCAAAGATCGGACACGGGTCGCAAACATTCGCACGCTTCGAACGCTTTGATAACGGTCTGCGTGGTGGCACGAACGATAAACGGCAGCGATAACTGCGCCCACGATACAGCACGGGGCTTTTGACGACCGGTGACATCATTAATTATTGTTTTCCTTCCTGGTATTCGGTTGTGTACCGCGAAAAGTCACGCGAGAACTGTGAGACCGGACGGAAGATCGAGGCTGTTTTGTTTCGATCGATACAGAAAATCTGGCTGAAAATACCTGGAAATATTTAATTTCTGTTTGTATATTTTTCGTATTCCTTCGATTCTTACTAATACTCTTCTCTACGAAGAAATTTTAGAATGTGTTCGTAGTTTGGATATATGTTGAGATATATTGGCGAGACATCTTTGTGGAAAGTGAATGCAAAGATTGTATTGCATATTGTAGTTTGAAGTTAGAAATGTGACGAATTTTTATTATAGTTAAATTGAATTAAATTCTTGAAAATTATTATATTATGATAAATCGATCTGAAACCCCATCCCGTCTCTTTGATAAGATAGAGTTTCACTTTCAGAGGTGAAATACGCGGAATTTCAAATAACGATTCTTAACAATTATTTATCAATTTCACTATATGATCAAATATTTAATGGATATATCCATTCGAATCTAGAATTTATCCTTCGTTTAAATAGCGATACTTTCTATTCCCAAAAACAATTTTTCCCCCATTCCAATTCATCAAGATTTTCATTTCAATTGAAAAGTTATCCACCGGATCGGTTAAATATCGAGATCGGTTTAAAGAACAGTTTAATAACTTACAAAATTGCGTGCATGTCCTGAGAAAAGAATTTTAATTCCAATGGAAATTACACAGTCAATTTTGTTCCCCGCTGTGACAGGAGTTATGTGCAAACCTTTGCGTTTCGTAATCGCTCAGAAGGCGTCAACGTCATTGCTGAAGCACGGTCGGAGAGGCACGTGTGCAAATAAATGTTGCCGGTATCGCATTAATTCAATTAACTCGATGCTTTCCAATTACATTCTTGTAGAAATATAAATCTGAAGAATCGGTAATAAATTTGTATTTAACGTTGTTATACGCACGAAACGTTTAATTTATTACTTTGTTCTCTAGTCGAGCGGTAGGTATGTATACTTTCGATGGTTAATTTCCATGTAGAAAATTATGAATGAAACGACACGCGTGTAAAAGTAATATTACTATTGTAGTAAGCAATATTTACTAATTTTTTATTTATTTCTCCTTTCGATTCCTTTAATTTTTCAAGTTGTTGTTTCTAAGTTCAAGGTTACTTCAAGATCATAAATATCTCTTTATGCTGAAGCCATTAATGTGCAATTCGATAAATTACGATTGTTTAGATCTTAAAACGTCAATATTGAGAGATCAAGGGATCATTTTCATCGTGAATGAAGTTAAAAGGACCAAAATATCAGTGAAACTTTAGAACGGATTTCTCTGCAACTAGTATTTCAATAATGTATGGATTTCGCTTACAAGAAGTCCGTGTTCTATTCAAGAAAAAAAATAAAACTTGGTAAGATTTTCTATACGACCATTATTCGAGTTGGTCTTTCGGAATCTTTCGAAAGTTCACTCTCTGGCTACGGATGGGCGCAAAAGCAAAAATCGGTGCTCGTTTTCTTTCTCCCTGAACTCTGGAACGATTTTACGAGCGAAGTCTTGCGTGCACGTAAAAAGAGGTAGCCAGGTTTCCTTTATCTTTCCTTTTCTTCTTTTCTTTTTTTTTTCTTTTTTTTAATGTTTTATTGCAGCTGATTGCGGGGCCAAGACCTCGTGCAAGACATTATAATACGCGAATCCGGATGCCCTTTTCTACCTCGAGAGATACGTACGCATGGTAGGCAAATCATCTTGAAGCACGAATAAACGTTCTTCTTAAATTGCAAAATGGGTTGCTATTGTTCGACAGACGAAAGTCATAGCGCGAAAAGAAGCACGAGAATAGATCTGATTCTATCTGATATTCAATTTATAGTTAAAATTAATAAATTTTCTTTTCTTTCTCATCTTGCTCCACCTTCAGTCCAAGTATTCTTAATCTTATCTTTTCTTTTTTCCAAAAAACAAGTTCAAAACGAAATTTTCGAAGCCTTTTTCTTAAACATTTCGAACAAGTTAAAAATTAAACTTCAGACAAATAAGATTCTGTTACTGCACATCGATATTTTTCTTACTCCATTCACTTCGAATATATTAAACCTATCTCACTTTTTCCAAACTCTTTTGAACTCAACATCGAGAAAGAAATAACAAAAAAAAAAAAAAAAAAAAAAAAAAAGCACTATTAAAATCCGCGAAAAGAATTCGAAGGCCCCTCAGAGAGCAGTCTCGCGGTAGCAATTAATCCCCGGCCTGAGTCGCGGCGTTCCACAAGAAGTGGCATCAATCATTCCACCGAGAAGAAGAGGAGAGAAGCGGAAAGGGAGAACAGACACGGCGAGGTCGCGTGTGCCCGAGAAAGAGAGGCCAGGCTAGTCCTGCAAAAAAAGAGGAAAACGAAAAAGAAAGAAAGAGAGAGAGAGAATAAAAGAAAAAAAAGAAAAAAAAGAAAAAAGAACGGAAGAAAAAAGCGCGGTTTGCGCTCGCGGCTCGGGCCCTGGACGTGTGCGAGTCGCGTGTGAGGCTCGCGCCTGTCGTTGTCTCTGTCGTGAGCACGGGCCCCGAACGGGTGCCCTGTGGCCGAGGCCCGACCTGTCGTTGTCTCTCCTCCTCCCTCTGTCTCGCTCCTGCCCTCGCGTGCGCATGCCTCCCTCTCTGTCCGACCCCGTGCCGGTCGATGGGTCCGTCTGGGACATGAGGCCTTGCCTCGTTCTCACGGTAGCCTCCGACAGGGGCCCTCCTCTCCCCTCCATCTCGTTCTATGTCCACGATCATGCCTCCTTCTAGAGCGAGCGAACCGATTCCTCTCCCTCCTCCTTTCTTCTTTCGATCGCTCGCGTGTGAGGAAGCGCGTGCTTACCACGGTAAGCACGCGTCCTCCTAGGAGGCGGCGGCGGCGGTGGCGGCGATTTAGCGCTCCGCATTCGTTGCTTTTCCATTCAGGCCCGCATTTTTGGGACAGATTGATGGGTTTATCGACAGGAAATTATTCGTTAATTTTATCTTATTTTCCCTAAAGTTTTGAAGAATGCTCATTTGCTCATTTTTGGAGATCAGGGAAAGAGTTTGGAGAAGGAGGGTATAGTTATAGTTATTATATATTGAAAAATAATTTTGTTTACTTAACGAGGATTTTCATGGTAAATTTCGGATGGAAATATGAATATATTTGTTTTCTCTTCTTTTTT